GGAATGCATGTTTCTTACCTATTCACTTTGCCAAAACTTTGAAAAATGCTGATTTGTCATTGTACTGTTGCATCTTTTGTGCAACATTTTGTCTTTTCTGTCTTGCAGATTTATCTGAAGTACAGCACAAACAATCCTATCTGAGAAGAGGACATTATTTGGGTTACTTTAGCAGTTACATTCAGCTAAAAATGTCTCTGCAGAGACAATGAAAGACCAAGGCAGGGAGCGAGGTTGGCAGGAGAATCACAGTGTAAACACGGTTCTCTGTATAATACAGAGAAAGGCTAAGTTACATGGTAAGTTTATTTTTGAAGCAAAAAATTAGCCAGCTAAGCTTTAATATATTAAAAAAACCCAGTATTTTAAATATCACATCTTACTAGTTTGAACTGAGGAAGTAGGGCTGTCTTCCCAAAAACAAACATATAGATTTTTAAACATGTGTGTGCTTGGTATCACTTAAATATTAAAGGATCTAGGCTAACAACAAAACAAGCAAACACCACTTTGAACTCTTCTTTAGTATCTTTATAATTTAACAATAAACAGGAGGTACAGTAAAAAGCCATATAAAAAGCTTACATATGTTGTTAGGTTTGAAATGTAATGCCTTCAACTGCTCCAGTAAGTGCTAATGCAGGATACAGAAATAATTCTTAAAACATATCCACGCCACTATAAAAGTGATTACAATTGGAGTAAAGACCACTAAAAAATCCGTCTGGTGAAAATGGTGAAGTAGCCTTTCTTCAGGCAAAATTGTTTATAAATGATATTTTTACCTTAATCATCCCTATGTTATCACATGTCTCTAGAAAATAAGCAAAACATGCAACATCTGCACGTTACTGGAACAGCTTTAACTTAAGCATTGCTGGCCACGCTTCAACCAACTATCGAGACCAAAAAAAAAAAAAACCAGCACGCAAAAGACACAGTAAAGAATGCCCCTTCATTAGGGAAGTCCAACCTCCAAAATCTTGTCAAATTAAAAATGAAATGCACTAGTGGAATACAAACAAACTAAATCTTGCCAGAAGATTGATGGGGTAAAGAAAGATGCTGAGGGGCAGGAAATCAGTTGGTACTTAGCTCTTCTAATGGAAGGCAAAAATGTCTTTACAGTTGCACTCTCCAAGTTACTCGTGGAGAGAGATGCTGAAAGACACTCCTCCCAGCGTTGTACTACAAACCTTACCTGCTTTATGCCACACTTTGAAGACCAAGGTTTGCTGTGGATCCAAGAGAAGTTCTTTGGACAATCTGTTAGGAATAAAATCATAATTTGCTATGCAAAGTAGGAAAAGCGGCAAGAATAGTAAAACGTCTCTGAAGATTCAGTGTCATTTTACCTATCCAGACAAGCCAGTGTCTTCCTCGAATCATGGGGAAAAAGATGCAAGTGTGCTTTCAAGAAATCAGTTACTTTATTTGCTTTTGGCTTTTGCTTATCCAAAAAGTACTTCCCACTCCTCACTCTTGTTGCGGATTTAAAAGCTAGGACATCAAAACCATCAACAAAAGTGGGAAAGAAATGGAAAAACAGTGCATCTTGTGACTCCCTAAGTATGGTGATAGCAAAGCACTGGAGTTATGGTTGAAAGCTAATATTTGATGCCGATTTCTGGGGAAAAAAAAAAACCAAACTTTGAATACTGAAAGGTCAAATGTCTTCACTGAACAGCTTTTAGGTTGCTTGAAGCATTTCAGGTATGACTCTGAGCCTAAGCAACCTCTGAAACAAAAACTTTTAAACTTCAGTTATCAGAGTCTTTCCATGGTTTGATCTTCGCATTACAAAACCCCTAAAACCAAAAACTCAACTCAGCAGTCTGGCAGCAAAACTCCTGGGCAGGCACTAGTATATATTTGCATGTGTTCTGTAATGGACAAAATAAAACGTCGAGTATGCCTTCTTGTTGCCTGTATTGGACTTGTTCCACCTAGTTTAGAGAACACCTTTGGCTACTGTTTTGGAATTAATTTTAAAAGCCAGTATAGAAATACTAGAAAAACCGTAAGATTGCAAATACAGTTTATTACTGAATATTACAGTTTATGACTTGATCTGCTGGGGTACCTTGGGGTGGTCGTTTCATCTGCCCTAACTTAGGCTCAGATATCTAAGTCTGAGCTACACCCCCTGTACTGTCTTTATACTCACTAGAGAGAAAGAGGCATCCTGAGGGAATGACTTGTCCTGTCTGAAGCAGGCATCTAACACAGGCCAAGCGATGCACTGAATGGAGGGCCCTGTTTCTCCCCAGGGACCGTAGAGAAAGCCTAGGGTGAACAGCTCAGACTCAAGACACTTAACTTCCAGATATCTAAAGTTAAGGCGGGATTCACCTACCCTAGAGTGCTGGTCCTGAACCACGGCATACTTCTAAGCATGGAACAGAGCAAAATGTACAGAAAACGCCAATAAATTGGATCAACGCTAAATTAATCTTCCCGAGAGCCCTTTAGTTATTATAAGCCCCTTCTTCCTGGTGGGGAAACTCCAGAAGAGGCAAACTTACTGACTCACTCAAGGTGAGCCAAAACACAGTGCAGACAGTAGTTTAGGGCAGGTCAAACCACCCTTCATGTTAGCTACAAGACCCCGCTTCCTTCAACAGCATCTTCCAAATTTAAGCATATGGTGATTGTGAAACACGCAAACAAGGATTTTCAGCTGAGAAAAGCTGAATAAGATGGCCCTTCAAAGCTCGAGAAAGCGCCTTTTAGAGCTTGCTGATCAAAAGCTGAAGCTTCTGCATGAAAGCGGGTCTAAGTGTATGAGCTGATAAAGCCAACGAGCAGAAATCAAAACAGTATAGGCCCAGTAAGTGGAAAGGCACCCCTAATCGAATATGTTCTTTTCACACTGAGCCACTGGCTCTCAGACCAAAGGCTCTGCAAGTACGTGTGTGCAAGTCCACATCACTTACCTTGCTTGCTGCTGAAAGTCCCAGACTGGTGAGTCTGTATTTTCTACTACTGAAGTGGTTACTGGAGCATCTGCATCAGCAACGGCAAACGACACGTAGCTACTAGGTGCTGTTACTCCACGTTCGGTTAAGGGACTCCCTAAAATCAGACAGAATTAAATACAGAATTGTACAGAGGATAAACAGATTACTAATAATTAATTCTTTTCCTAAAGGCAGGTCAGCAATTAAAAATATATAATTAATAAAGAAATCCATCATATAGGAAATACTCCTTTTCATTGGTAGAGCTGAAAAAGCTCTACATTTACACGGAGAGAGAATATCACAGAAAGCTTGCACAGAGCAGAAACTGGAGCACAGAGAAGCTACCTGCCTAAGATTATCCAAGCCACCAAAGGCAGAGGTAGGAATAAAAGCCAGGTCCCTGGGTCCCTATTGCAGCACTTGATCTACCTTCTGTGCTAGGCTAAAGTGGCTGACAGTCCTAGCTTTTAAATATACAAAATATCCAATGTTACAAAAGCTGGTTTGACTTAATTGCTGGTTTTTTGGGGATAAGATCACTTCAAATTTAACTAACTACTACTGAGAGGAGGAAGACAGAGTGCTGATGCGTGACTTTGCTGGGACAGTGATTCAGAAGAGCTATAAGGACTGTATGGGCGTGATTTGCAAACTTCTGCTGAGATCTTCTATTGATTGCTAACTAAACAGGCACCAGTATTACCAATTAGAACAATTTCCTGCATTGACTGAATGAGAAAACATGCTCCCAGTGTTAAAGGTAACCCAACTTTTTTACAGCAGCTATCAGATCATTTCACAAAGACTGAAGTATTTAGACAATCTTAATATCCCTTCAAGGCAGAAGCAAGTACTATCCTCATTTATCGTGAAAGTATTTGAATACAAAGGAGAAAAAGCAATATTTACACTTTTATTTAAAACCCTTGCTGGCTTCCCTCCTAATTTTCCCTGTTGGTCATCATACCCACCAAAGAAGTGGGAGTTTGTGTTACTGATAACTGTCCCGCAGTGGTGTGCTTTGAGCAGGGATAGTGTGCATGGATAGTAAAACACTGGTCACCATCACCGCTTCAAGGGCACCTGTGCTCTCACTGGCTCTGCTACTGCACAAGTGGGAAATTCGAGGGAAGAAAGTCTAGTGTAGCTGAGGCTTTAACGTTTTGGCCAAAACATCAAAGTTTATATTAAAGAAGGAAGGAGGGGAACTTACTTGCCCTCATGTCCTAGTCCACTGCTTGAGCAGGGAGCTATGCACAGCGGGGCTGCAGTCAGGCTTTGCTGAAGTCCTTTCTAAGTCACTTCAGGAAATACTGTTTTTAATCCATGCACAAACTCGACCTTTGTGATTACTAAGCTAAGCAACCAGGAATGGCATTCACTCTACAATGCATCAGTGAAAGCTTTACGAGGCTTCCTGCATAAACACATCAGGGCTGGAAATGCAAACGCTTTCTCCCTCGTTCATCCTGAAATAACCTGGGAGAAGGCTTAGGAGAAAACAGATAACGAATTAACTAGTCTGCCTTAATTGGGTATGTTTGCACTTAGAGGCAGATGATTTGTAATCAAGGAACGCAAGGTCATATTAAGGGACAGAGCTGGACATTCACCAAATACTGGGTATTATGGATTAGAAAGAGTTGAATGAAAGCTGTGGAAAGCATACAGTCATTTGTACCGAAATTTAAGCTGACAAGGAGGAGAGATGCTTAGGGCCTCCAGAGGGGTCTGGGCTGTGTGAATGCTCTCAGGGAATTCAGAGTGTGAATTGGAGGATTTCTACCTCCCTACTATTTCTCTTCCGCATGGGACCCTTCCTCAGGCACGCACCCTCTTAGTTATGTTCACATTAGTGAGATTCACTTGCTGCAGTGTGTCATGACTTCTAAAGCTGTAGGAGCATTTTACTGCTTGTGGAGCTGTTGAGATGGAGAATTTGCAGCTGGCAAAGTCTGCTAAGAGAAGTGCATTTAGCCAAGGAGAAAATAAGGTCAGACTTTGCAACTGAATACCGTTCATACACGGGTTGTCACAGATTACTTCCTTCTCTCTGCTTTCCAAGGACTCAGCACGTGGCTTTGGACTTTTCTAAGACCTTGTCGGCCAGAAACTAGAAATTCTCTTTTTTCCCCGAAGTTTGATTCTCTGTCAAATATGATCAAATGTGATTGATTCACAGTGGTGGACTGTGTTACTGCTGCTTTATCCCTTGATCTTCAGGATTTGCTGGAGAACTCTAGAGTGCTTGTTCTTGTTTTTCAGTACGCGCAATGACTTCATTTTAAAATATGCATACAGAACTCCTCTCAGTTTGATAAGACCGTGGACACGGCAACTCAAGCACAGGTGTGGATAATGTGTGCTCAGCTTAGAAACAAGCAAGACCTGCCCGGGCTAGCTCACTGTCTCTTGCATGTAAAGGCAGACCTAAACATCAATCTTGTAGTCAAAGGCAAAAACGAGCATTTCTCAAGTCCTAGAGTGCTTTTCTTGTAGGAAAAAAAACCGCCTACAACAAACAGAGTTGTTGGATCTAATAAGAAGACTCAGCCACGATCAAAGATGTCTTACCAAGGTTGATTTAGCTTAGCAACTCCTAATCCCTGAACTTTGCAAAGAAGTTACACTTAAGAATTAGTTTCATTCCTCTTTATAAAAGCGGTATTTGAAGGAGGAGGCGAAAGAAGCAGTTGAGGCGTGTGACCTGATGCTGCAGGAACAGGTAGTGAAAAATAAAAGCTTTACAGCTAGGGCACCTCCTGCATAGTGTGGTCTGGATCTGTAGAATGCTGTCCTGATGTTCTCTTTTAACTTTTTGCATTTTGTAGAACTTCACATGGAGGTAATTTGACTCCTTTCAAAAATTATGAAATTTAGGCTGCTATTTTTGGAAGATGCAGAGAAAGAAAAGACTTCTCAGGCAGGAAAAATGACTTAAAGACAAGAAATATCAAGAGATTTGGAGAATCATTTTGCATCTTCACCCAATTTTTTAAAATTGGGCATCTTAAGTAGTTCTTCCAAAATTGCATAAAGTTTGTCACCATTAACATACTGGACTGGAAGTGTATTCTAACAGTTTTATCTGTAAGGCAGTAATGAAATTGTTACTACGAAGAATGCGAATTCTTGTTGAAACTAGTTTATATTGCATCTTTTCTAGTGTATCAATAGCCACTCAGTTACATCCGAAAAGCCAAAGGAAAGATAAGTTGTTTGAAGATGGAAATATTGCAGTGGCATACATGAACAAAACAAACCTCCTTTATCACATCAAAGATTTTCCAGAGGCAAATAATGTTGCATCATGTTTCCAGAAACAAAGACTATGAATTCCAGAAGATTACAGAATTATATAGCTTATAAAAAAAGCCATCTATGGTGCATTACTGGTACTTACATCACGGCTTTTATTTGACTCTTAGTTGTGCTATAAGTATCACACCCAAAAATGCTGAGTGCTCTTTTCTATCCAAGCACCTAGACTATGGAACAGTTGACCTTAACAAAGACATTTCCAGGAAACTCACTCACTCAAGTCAGTCCCTTATTCATATTTGTATTTAGGTAGCGTGCAATGGCACAAACAAGGTCTGATCACTCCAAATGCTGAGCAAACACAAAGTGATCAAGCCTTACAGCACTCAGAAGCAGGCAAGGTGAGGGGCTGAGCACTTAAGATGTTTTAAGGGGTTTAACTCTTCTTTAACAAAATAGGTTCATCTACAGATTGCAACTTGAGGGAAGAAATAAAAGGCTCCAAAAAATTACAAACTCACTAAGTTATGTTACTGCACAACAAGCACCAAGCATCATCTTGCTAGGAAGGAATGTTTTAATATGTTTAGAATAAATTCAAAAGTGCTGAGCAATTCTTTGGTGATCCTCAGCACAGCGAATAGGCACCTAGCTGTAATTTTCACTCTACAGAGAGGGAAACTGTGCGTCAAGCCTAGGTGAGTTCAGACCGCTCTGTACTTAACGTTGCTCTTCCTCACTGCTGTGTCTGGCAGTCTCTAGATAGCACAAGTAAGCCAGCTTTACAAGCTGATTATATGTTAAAAATGCAGAATTTGCAAGAGTCTTTGAGATGAGTATCTCAGGGTTAAGTTATTCAGGTAACACTTAACTTCAGAATTCAGCTGTCATCTGTAATGGTGAACATTATTTTATTTATACTTTGTTTTTCATTAACAGAGATAGGCTGGATAGTTTCACTTCCTGCTCGTGGGGCTGCAAAGCCAAGCTCAACACCCATTTCATTCATTCATTGTGATTGAATAAATTTGATAAGATTCTTGGGTTTTCTGTTTTTAAATTGTTCTTTGCAGTACCTGTTACGAGCAGATTCCAGAAGAAAAAGGGTTTTTACCTTTTAAACTTAGATGCATTGCTCTTTCCACGAGGACAGTGACAGCAACCGTGTTTTCCAGAAACACCACGTCTTCTTCAGGTGGTTTCCTGTTGGTGACTTCTGAATTTACAACACCCAGTTTCTGACTCTGATTTTCAGAGACGTGTTGGTTCACCTCAGGAGCTTTCTCCGTGGCTTCATCTTCACTACTGCTGTATTCCTCAGCACAGCGAAGTCTGCTGGTCAGGGCAGCAGAAGTGGAAGAAAGCGCAATGTGAACACGTACAGCAGCTCCTGCTAGGTTTGCAGCGTTGCATCTGAACAACGGGTAAACCCCTGCAAGAGAATTCGCAACCAACCAGCTAAACAAGCCAAAGGAGAAACAGCATCCTGGAAAAAGCTGCTACAGTTCATTACAGTAAAGATCTCCCATCAGACCAGCAGAAAGAATTTTGATTTTCAGTATAATTTCTGTGCAAGGTATTACCAAGTGCATTATTAGGAATATCAGCTTGTAAAGGCAGAAACAGAGAGCAACCCCCAAAACGGTATACCTTCATTTTCCCACTAGCAGTTCAAATTACTGTTTTACAGCACATCAGCTTTCTGTAAGTGCTGGAAATAGCGCCTCTTTACAATTTTATACACATATATGGAAAACATATGTGTATAAATATATGTGTATAAATATATGTATGTATGTGTACATATACGTGTGTGTCTCCCTTCCCACTATGTCTAAGCATACTCCAAAGACAAGCTAATGACCTGTCCACAGAGAGGAGGGGGCAGCTGAGTCAAAACAAAGCTATAAACGTTTTGCTTCAGGTGACTAGAGAAGTTAAGCAACCAAAAGCATCACTAAAGAGGAATGAAATAAGATAATGTTCTTTAGGAACTTACCACTAACACTTAGTGTTTTCCTTGACCTCTCTGCTAATGCTGTGAGGTCGACATAGGCAGATCCAATAAGACGATCCGTATCAAGTGGTCTTTCCACATCATTTTCTTTACCATATGCCCACCACACCTGGATTTCTAACTTCTCCTCTCTGAAGAACCAGCGCAGCCCTTGGCTCCTTCTGAGAGTCACCCTGTTTGGTTTCTTAAAGGTCACTGTAACATTCTTCTTGTCGTCACTCAATGTTGGCCTCCTAAGCAAAGTCCACATGGCTTCCTGATTATACAGCTTATACCTGAGGTAGCAATAAGTACTTTTATTCAGGTGCGTCTGGCCTGCAAGCAGCACGCAGTGGACTGGCAGCCATACTCTCGGGGTAGAAATGGTCACGATTGCTGGATTCTCACCCTGCTCCCATTCGTCACTATCATCCATACTGTCTTCGTGGTTTTCCTCACTGTTCCAGCCTAAAAGCTTAGCGGCTTCCAAAACACGTTCTCTGTCATTGTGGTGAGCAAAAGTTACAGAAAGTTCCAGTCCTCCCACAACGGTCTGTATGACGTTTGTGCAACGAGAAGGCACTAAGTCCTCAGAGAGGGTAACTGGGTACCAGCCTGTAATACCTTCGGGAGAAGAGATCATAATTAGCCTTATCCTGCCTTCTGAAAAATGTCAGGAAAGAATTTTTCACACTCCGGTTATTAGTCCAGGGCCAGTATTTGGAAGCGAAAGTTTGGAATTCGTCAAGTCATTTCCAAACTGAAAAAGTAGCAAGTTGTTAGACCTCAGAAAACCTCAGAGGTAGTTCCAAAGGCATTTTACTTTTCAATTCATTAATGATACTCATTTTACAACGAAATCATATCCCACGAATCTTCAATTATAAAATTAAGGATTCTCAGTTTTTTCCTCCTCTCTTCCCATTAAAAATAAATGCAAAATTTCATGGTTGGAGAAAACAAGCACTAAAACTATAATGACATTAAAGCAGAAACGAACAAGATGATAATGAAAGTATCACTACCACATGACAACAATCGCAAACTAAGACTAGACAGAAGTGGTATTTTACATTTAGTTAAAAAAAAAAAAAAAAAGGCTAAGCCAACTGCTTTCTAACTTATCTAAGCCTTTCTTGCCAGCTTTGTCATCTCAAAAGCAATCACTGGTCCTCAACTGAACTCAATGACTCTTGGACTTTCAATCATAAAGTAGAAAATAAACAGCACTGAATAAAACATTAAGGAGGTTAACTCAGCCAGTTCAGCTGCCAATTGAGGGGTACATATTTCTCCACTTTCTAGTCTATACAGTGCCTTACTCTTAGTAAGGTGCAACTAGTTGCTCTCTTGCAATTTCTGGAAGACCCACGTTAGTGGTACAGAATATATTAATCACATAGTTCAACTGCTGTTATACATCCAACACCCTGAAAGCTGATCTTCAAACAACTTCCATTATATGAGTTTTCTAATACAGGATTTTTAATACAGATATATACAATGTCTGAGAGAACTTTGGCCTAAAAAACCAGAACCAAAATTGTATGACACAATTACAAGAGCACCTACACAGAACGTCAGTAGTGTAACTGCCACATTACCTGATCTTCTTCTCAGTAGGTCTCTGGTTGGAACAGTGACTGTCCCAAGAAGATAATCTCTTGATGTCCGACCTGCCAACGTGTCAGTGGCTGGAAAATATAAAACGTTGCAAACAGGACAAATTAGAATGCAAGATTTAGAAGTGATTCAGAGACTATCTCTTTCTAGAGAAAGCTGCATGACATCAAGGGTAGATAGTTCAGCCGCCATACTGAAAAAAACTTTTAGCCCACCAAAAAAGGACAAAAGTCAAAACAAATGGCCCAGGTTATATCAGGCCCAAACCAGCAAGAAACAGGAGCGTGACCAAAACCTGCCTGTAAGTATTGCCAGTGCATATTCATTACAGGACACTTGCTCCATCTTTGCTGAATTTGGAGAAGCTTTTAGGGAGTATTTCCACAGATGCACATTAAGTAACCGGTGGAGAGCTAGTGGTATATATTACTACTCACTTACCCTAACAACTTGCCGCTCCTGACTTTTCTCTCTCGTGGAGTTAAAAAAAAAAAAAAAAGAACAAAGAAAAAAGCAAAAACAAAATAGTAGGCTGTGACCTCTTATTTCAAGCTAGCCAAGGTCAGACAACGTTAAGGGACACTATCACGTTGCTTACATCAAGAACATCACCAATGAAAACTCTGGGAGACGTACGAAGAAAATGATGGTTCAATGCGTTTCAATCTTCTTTTTGAATGACTGTTTAACTAATCCCTCAGTGTTTCATGGAGTAAAACTCTAGGGATTTCAAAAGGCACTAGTGATTAGAGCAAGAAATTGAAAGAGAAACCCAACTCTTTCATGGTACACCTCTGCCTATCTGCCATAGGTTCGCTGGAGGATCTTTTTTCTGAACCTCCGTTACCCCATTCCATAAAGTTGGGGCAATGGGGCATACACATACGAAGGCAAGGTGCTCCAGGAGTCAAAGTGTTATTACTATTAATTGCACTATCTTTTCATTTAAAACAGATCTTGATCACCTGGAGTTCTGGAAGCCTTAACTTTGTACATGGAGAACAGTACTTCCCAAAGCCTCCTCTGAAGGCCAGTTAGGTAATTACTTCTATTACTGACTGCACAAAATAGTCTCTCTTCTAAACTGAAAATTAACGGGACTGGATCATTATCCACAATAGCAACGCCATTTGGTCACTGGAATCACTGGCCTTGCTTACCTGACTTGACGCTCTGATGGTAGATAGAGAAGATGATATTGGCAGAGTGCAAGAGTTCCCCCAGAGAAGAAGCTTCTCCACTACTTTTCTGAACGATGAGGTTACAAGGAAACTCTATGTGGTCCTTGAACTCTGGGCAGAAAGTATGAGCCACAGCTCGCGTGTTGCGTCTCTCCCCCTCAGGGAGGAAAGAGAGGTGCACAGAGACGTAGGTATTAACTCCTGCACCTGCATAGTACTGGATGGAAGGGTTCTTTTCTGCAACAGCTCTTCATTTAATAAGAGAAAAGAAAACAAAGAGGAGAATGAATATGACGTACAACAAAACTAGGAATCAATGCAAATAAAGCAAAGGTTTTAGGTCTTCATGGTGAAAAGATGAGACAAAATAAAACAGTGGATCCAGTCTATATTCCTGGGCTTTGCCTAACACAGAAGTGCTTAGAGAATTTCTTATCTGTGCTATAGCACTGTTATAGGTTGGAACAGATGGAGGTTCCAGCTCAGCGTATTTTTCGTAATTTTTTTTGTCTGAACATGTTAGGAACATGTATGAAATAGTAGGAGTAACCATCATCAGGTCCATCATTGGTGGCTGTGTTCTTGCCATTGCCAGGATCTGAAGACCAAGGTGGGTAAGAAAGTACTCGGCACCTTTGAAAAACATCCCATACTGTAAAAACAACAGTAGGATAACTTCCCAGAGAACCTACTGCAGAAAAAAGCAAAAGGCCAAGCCAGATTATTTTTATACACTAGTACTGATAAACAAAAGGAGGTGAACGTGTCAAACAGAAGCATTCACAACCAAAACAGACCAGGTAATTTTCTTCAGGCATATGCCTGAAGAATCAGGATTTGCAAGTCATTCCACTTTCTTAACTTCTCAGAGCACCACATGGTAGTGACCTTCATTTTATGGAGTCTTCTTGAATTAAGATAAATCAGCAGCTCACCACCACTCAGAAAAGGTCAGTGATGACAAGAGCCATTCTACCCTCATGGAATTGACTACCCCTCCTCTAGCCCTTTCTTCTTTAATTCCTGAAAACTGTATACTGGAAGTAAGCTCACGCAATACTATGCGCTTAGAGCGGCCATCCAGTGAAAAGGGATGTTTCATTTTTCTAGTTAGTTTAGCCGTGTTTCCACAGCGAAACTCAAGAAAACTGATCCCAATTAACCTTTAAATAGCATCAATAAGACCAAGATGCAATGCCTAGCTAGGTGCTATGTTATATCACCCAATTTTTCTATCAGCCTTTGGTGTAGAAAAACATGGAAGGAGGTAATACTGATCAAAAGGCTGAGGAGTCAAAAGTATGGCTAGAACTATGCATGCTGTAAGAACACTGCATGCTGTCTTCCCTCACTCTCTAGATTTGCTAATGCACATCTAAACTCCTTCACTCCCTGCCCTGCAGTCTTGCTACTGTCAGAACAAATGCTACTACATGATGCTGCAGCTTAACGGACAAAAATAACCACTAATGATCTTTATAAAGAAGTTATTTTCTCTTTTGATCAGAATCCAGTTTGAATTTAGGTTCCTACAGATAGAAAACTGGCCAGTTACAATTTCTTCTAATGCCTCAGCCTGCTGCCTCCAGAAAACGCTATCTCAAGAGAGAAACCTTCCTTTTTCAATTAGACTTTACCTGGTTGCTGCTTGCAAACCAGCAGCTCTGTGTACTTGTACAGAAAGGGAAATAGCTTGAGCACTTGTTATTCCTGCT